TCCTAGCCATGAAACATCCAGTATGGGTTTAGAACTTCCCATGATGAGCTGGACACTGTAAGACTTAAAAGCATAAGGTCCAATGGGCACCAGTGTTACACAGGTGTATTTGTGGAAAGTCCCAAGCAAATCTAAGGTCACATTTAAGTTACAAGAACAAATGACTCCACACCCCCATCATCCCCTATCTCTGTTGCACTTATACCTCTCAGCTCACACCTGTGGCCCCATGAGGAAATCCCTGTGACAAGGAGAGAAAAGTAAAGCCCTGGTTCGTAGACAGATTCATTCAATATGTAACAATGAATTGTTAATGGATGGCTGCAATCTCATGACTCCTTAGAGGATACCCTAAGGAACATTGAGGGAGAATTCTCCCAGTGGGCATGAGTTCAATCAGTACACTTGATCATTTCTTATGAAACGAGGGCGTCTAAGATGGGTATTCAGAATTCCATGCATTAGCAAATGGGTTGGCTGGCTGCTCAGTGTCCTGGAAGCAGCAATATTAGGAGATTAGAGACAAGGAGGTCTGGGGAAGAGGCATGTAGAAGGACCTACGGGAATAGGCACAAGGCCTAAGTTGTTTGTTTGTTTTTTAAATCAAAAGGCAGTGCCGGGCTTCCCTGGTGGCGCAGTGGTTGAGAGTCCGCCTGCCGATGCAGGGGACACGGGTTCGTGCCGCGGTCCGGGAAGATCCCACATGCCGCGGAGCGGCTGGGTGCGTGAGCCATGGCTGCTGAGCCTGCGCGTCCGGAGCCTGTGCTCCGCAACGGGAGAGGCCACAACAGTGAGAGGCCCGCGTACCTCAATCAATCAATCAATCAATAAATGGCAGTGCCTACCAGATCATTCATCACAGAAGATGTGCTCAGTAAGTGGACAGGATGACTTGTCCAGAAGTCAGCCAGTTTCTGTGCTCAGCCCCCTAGCTGCTTGCAAAAAAGTCTACCCATTTCATGGGTCCAATATCATGGCTCCCTCTCAAAGCCATTCTAGCTACTGCCATTGTTTTAAAGCTGGCCTGTCAGCAACAGAAACAGATGTTAAACTTCCATGTGGTGCCACCCAGCCTCTTGTTGGCAAGGTGATTACATCTGACCTCTCCCCTCCTGAGAGAAGCATCCATCCTTCTGTGATAATTATTCTGGATTTGAATTTACCTTCCATGCCCTGGCACTTCCATGCACAGTGCCTGTGTTAGCACCATTAGGGGCTTCCAGAATACCTACCTTACTGCAGAAAAGCCCATATTAAGTCACCTGGAACAAGCGATCCATCTTACAGAGACACATGATTACAGAAACCTTGATTTTATCATATATTAACAAGAAGCTGCCAGACCAGCATGTCATTGAAATGCCCTCTTACATGTCCAGGTAAAGAACCAGTCTGACGATGAACTGCAGAGATGGGGTGTTCTGTAAGAAACCCACCGCACAGATCTCCATTTAGGGAAGGATGTGCTGCTTGGTAGGGAGCACAGCCAGCAAGAGCCTCCAGTTAGCTGTCAGTCCCCCAAGGGCAGCCCACATCCAGGGACCAAGTGAGCCAGGAGTAGAAGTCCCAGCCGTATCAGTCTGGTGTGGGATGACTAACAGAAGATGCCTGCCATGGCACTCTCCACCTCGTTCTTGGTCCATCTTCCATCCCAGTCTGACTTCTGCCTAGACCTTCCTTTGCCCCTCTGATCAACATTATATACTCCAAACCCTTGCATTCCTAAGTCAGCATCTCAGAGTATCCTTTCCAGGAAACTCAACTGCACAACCACCATGAAATATCAGTAGCAGTAGATTCAACGTGGTCCAATGGGTGTAAGGAATCATACTGGTGATTCCTGCTTTCATAGTCCACCTGAGTTTGCTAACAGTTCAAGACAGGAACTGCAACTTGAAAGCATCATGCTCATCACAATGGTGTTGGTGTACTTTGCTAGCAAACTAGTGGCCATTAAATGATGCTGTGTCTCCAAGAGCTAGAATATAGGTCTGGGAACCAAGGAGTGGAATTAAGTTTCTCCCTTGTCTTAACACCCAGTGACCCAGTTGGGAAATTTGTGCTTTCCATCCCTACAAGTTAAGTTCAGCAGGTCTAGAGGTTCTAGATCTAGATGCTTATACCAAGGGACACAAACAGTGCTCTTTTGCCAGTAGACTATCAAGAGATTTTCTGCTACATGAGAGGAAAGGGGAAAATGATTCATTGGAATGTTGCTTGGTTCTTCCACACCCAATGTTAAGCATAAATAAGCAATTGCAGCAAACATGGAGTGATAAGGTCACCAGGGGTTCAGACCTCTTAGAAGTGAAGGTCTTGGGCACTCACCAAAATAAGCAACTTAAACCAATGGAAGTGTTGGCATCTAGGATTGAGAGTAGAAGGAGATAAATATTACATCTTATAATGATGGTCCTTATAGACAACCTGCAGCAGTGACTGAAGATCTGGGTGCTCATAGCTGCCCATCACAGGTAGACATAGAGGTATACCACACAGCTCTCTTCTCGAAAGAGCTTGCTGTCCATCTGTGAGGAGCATGGCTACCCAATAGCCTCCAGCTGTTAGCCCACATTCTTGGAGTGGCTCCAAGCCAACGATGGAGGGAGCCTAGCCATTTCCATCCAGTGTGGGATTCCTCAAACTGGTCCTCTGCTCCAGAGCTCCCTGTGGGACTGGCAGAAAATGTCAGGGACACATTATGGTCTGACAGCTCCCTCTGCATAATCCTGCCTCTTCCCCTTTTTCACAGGTGTTATCCCCCAGTAAATCTTTGGCAGTCCTAATTCTCTTGGCATATGCTTCCCAGAGGATAACAGTACAACCCCTGTAAAGCATCAGCAGCAGTCTACTCAACATGGTCCAGAAGGTAGGAAGAGTCAGGAATGTGATGCTTTCCCCCAGTCCACCCAAGTTCACCAGCAGCTTCGGGAGACCTCTCCAGCACATCCATGGCTTCCCCACCTCAATGCCCACATGTGTTTGCCTGACTACTTTCTTTGGTACTACGGGAGCTCACTCTGCCACCAAGTGGAAACTACAAGGGAGTTAATGTTCTTGAGGGTGCTCACTCCCCAGCTAATGAAGGAGAGATAGTCACTGAGTGACTGTCAACCACCCCATCACATACGGGTGTTACCAGATAAGCATTACACAGTACCATATATCAGAGGCTCCCCAGTGGGACTGAACCCCAGATGCCCAGAGTAGTAAACCCACTTTAACACAACCTTTGACATTCTCTTTCCCCAGTCCTGCTTTCCTCACCTTCACTTATGCTTCCTGGGATCACCCACCACACGTATCCTTGTCTCAGCATCTGCTCTCTGAGAAAGGCAAACTAAAAAGTCTGAATTTTGTGAGATTACAGTCAGATTGAGCCCAAAATTCAGTGACACTCCGTTAGGAATGCAGGTTTGTGCCCCCCCCCCACCCCAATTCACATATTGAAGCACTAATTCCAGTGTGAAGGCATTAGGAGGTGGGGCCTTGGGAGGTAATTAGGTTTAGATGAGGTCATATAGGTGGGGCCCCCATGATGGGATTAGTGTCCTTCTAAGAGGGAGGAGACTAGAGTTCCTTTGCGTTCTACCTTATGAAACACGAGAGTCATCTGCAAGCCAGGGGGAGAGCTCTCACCAGGAAGCCAATCTCCTGGCACTTTAATCTTGGGCTTCCCAGCATTTTCATCCCTTTAGACCCAGCAGGTCTCTAGCTTTTCAAACTTCCCTTGCCTCCACCTGATCCCAAAATGCTGCAGTGCTTCAGCTACACTCTCCACAGTAGTGTTTCCAGATTCACATCTCTGCTTCTCTGGAAGAAGTCTGGCTCTCAGTGAAGGTTGCCACGGAACAAGGGTGGAGATTGCACCGATGGAGAATGCAGCCTCACCCTCCCTGGCACTGAGCAGAGGTGTGTGTGTGCCTGTCCCCAAGCCCTTCCTGTTCCTCCCTGAGTCTGATCCGGGAGGCTCCCCTCTCAAAGTTGATATCTCAGACAATCTCCCAATCAGTGCACGAAAAAAAGACAATTAATGTTCAAAAGAAAAAATTCTGTTTGCAGATCAGAGCAGCAGCTAAGCTGATGTGAAAGCTAACATTTTTAGAGCTAAGGAGCATTAACCACAGGAATAGTTTAACATTTTGTAAAGATCCGGTTTGAAGTCTTTTTTCTGCTTGCCCTTGTATGTCCCTTTAGTAGGTCAAGACAACTTATTCTGTCCTTACCTCTGCTGGTAATATACTTGGAGTGCCCTTAGGCTGTTAATGAAACACAGACATCGAAGTTGTTTGCCAGATTCCTGGAATAGTCCTGAAGGATCTTTGTCCTTCTGATATTTAGCCAGGCCTGGCCTATGGAATCTCGACCTGGGAGCCTGGGGCTGGGCTCCCACTCCTGGTTCTAGTGTCAACAGAAATCCTCTTTCTAGAGGAAGCAGTTTACTGGCAAGTTAAACCATGAGCTTAAGAAATTTCTCTCAACAGTAGAGGAAGTCTGGATAGATTTAGATTTTCCTGAAAGCCTAGCGATTGAAATGTAGTTATGGACCAATGGGTATGTTACCAATGTGTGATATATGTAAAGTATGTTTCAATAAACACTTTAGACTTTGCTAGAATCACTACAAATAGTTGCTGGATATCTATATTTGAGTCATGAAGTTAGAATTTTATGGTTTACCCCTGTACCCTGAATACTCAAAAATCAAAGATTTAGACTCGAAGTAAAACACGGTAACTGCTACCTCGGATTACTGTGATTTGTCATGTTAGGCTTTTTGAATTTGTAGAAAAAGCCTAACTGCTTCTTATATCCTTTAACAATTTCTGGTGCCTTCGTCAAGTTCAATTTTAAAATCATGGTTCAAAGGGAAGTTTCAGACTTTATATTAATATTTTAGATAAGAATTTCTCATTACAGATGAAAATTTATACCTGAGGCCACATGAGTAACATCACAAGGTGTTCACAAGCTACAGGATTCTGAAGAAATGAGCTTACCTGCTCAGTGCAGGACCCTGGGCGAGCCAGATCTCAGGCTGTCCGGCAGGAATGGAATCAATTACTCTTCAAAAGGTAGGTGAGCTCGGTATAGGGGGAGGCAAGTCACACAGGATCAAGATTCCTCGAAGGAAAATGGGGCAAGAGCAAAGATGGTTAGGCAGAGGAAAGATTCCCCATTAATGTCCTCAAAACCCATTCTTTTTTTTTATTTATTTTTTTTACTTTTTTTTTGGCTGTGCTGCGTCTTCCTTTCTGTGCGAGGGCTTTCTCTAGTTGCGGAGAGCTGAGGCCACTCTTTTTTTTTTTTTTTTTTACATCTTTGAGTATAATTGCTTTACAATGGTGTGTTAGTTTCAGCTTCACAACAAAATGAATCAGTTATATATATACATATGTTCCCATATCTCTTCCCGCCTGCGTCTCCCTCCCTCCCACCCTCCCTATCCCACCCCTCCAGGCGATCACAAAGCACCGAGCTGATCTCCTTGTGCTATGCGGCTGCTTCCCACTAGTCATCTACCTTAAGTTTGGTAGTGTATATATGTCCATGCCTCTCTCTCGTTTTGTCACAGCTTACCCTTCCCCCTCCCCATATCCTCAAGTCCATTCTCTAGTAGGTCTGTGTCTTTATTCCTGTCTTACCCCTAGGTTCTTCATGACATTTTTTTTTCCCTTAAATTCCATATATATGTGTTAGCATACGGTATTCGTCTTTCTCTTTCTGACTTACTTCACTCTGTATGACAGACTCTAGGTCTATCCACCTCATTACAAATAGCTCAATTTCGTTTCTTTTTATGGCTGTATATATGTGCCACATCTTCTTTATCCATTCATCTGTCGATGGACACTTAGGTTGTTTCCATCTCCAGGCTATTGTAAATAGAGCTGCAATGAACATTTTCGTACATGACTCTTTTTGAATTATGGTTTTCTCAGGGTATATGCCCAGTAGTGGGATTGCTGGGTCATATGGCAACTCTATTTGTAGTTTCTTAAGGAACCTCCATACTGTTCTCCACAGTGGCTGTATCAATTTACATTCCCACCAACGGTGCAAGAGGGTTCCCTTTTCTCCACACCCTCTCCAGCATTTATTGTTTCTAGATTTTTTGATGATGGCCATTCTGACTGGTGTGAGATAATATCTCATTCTAGTTTTGATTTGCATTTCTCTAACGATTAATGATGTTGAGCATTCTTTCATGTGTTTGTTGGCAGTCTGTATATCTTCTTTGGACAAGTGTCTATTTAGGTCTTCTTCCCATTTTTGGATTGGGTTGTTTGTTTTTTTGTTATTGAGCTGCATGAGCTGCTTATAACTTTTGGAGATTAATCCTTTGTCAGTTGCTTCATTTGCAAATATTTTCTCCCATTCTGAGGGCTGTCTTTTGGTCTTGTTTATGGTTTCCTTTGCTCTGCAAAAGCTTTGAAGTTTCATTAGGTCCCATTTGTTTATTTTTGTTTTTATTTCCATTTCTCTAGGAGGTGGGTCAAAAAGGATCTTGCTGTGATTTATGTCATAGAGTGTTCTGCCTATGTTTTCCTCTAAGAGTTTGATAGTTTCTGGCCTTACATTTAGGTCTTTAATCCATTTTGACTTTATTTTTGTGTATGGTGTTAGGGAGTGATCTAATCTCATACTTTTACATGTAGCTATCCAGTTTTCCCAGCGCCACTTATTGAAGAGGCTGTCCTTTCTCCACTGTACATTCCTGCCTCCTTTATCAAAGATAAGGTGACCATATGTGCGTGGGTTTATCTCTGGGCTTTCTGTCCTGTTCCATTGATCTATATTTCTGTTTTTGTGCCAGTACCATACTGTCTTGATTACTGTAGCTTTGTAGTATAGTCTGAAGTCAGGGAGCCTGATTCCTCCAGCTCCGTTTTCTTTCTCAAGATTGCTTTGGCTATTCAGGGTCTTTCGTGTTTCCATACAAATTGTGAAATTTTTTGTTCTAGTTCTGTGAAAAATACCATTGGTAGTTTGATAGGGATTGCATTGCATCTGTAGATTGCTTTGGGTAGTAGAGTTATTTTCACAATGTTGATTCTTCCAATCCAAGAATATGCTATCTCTCTCCATCTCTTTGTATCATCTTTAATTTCTTTCATCAGTGTCTTATTTTCTGCATACAGGTCTTTTGTCTCCTTAGGTAGGTTTATTCCTAGATATTTTATTCTTTTTGTTGCAATGGTAAATGGGAGTGTTTTCTTGATTTCACTTTCAGATTTTTCATCATTAGTGTATAGGAATGCCAGAGATTTCTGTGCAGTAATTTTGTATCCTGCTACTTTACCAAATTCATTGATTAGCTCTAGTAGTTTTCTGGTAGCATCTTTAGGATTCTCTATGTATAGTATCATGTCATCTGCAAACAGTGACAGCTTTACTTCTTCTTTTCCGATTTGGATTCCTTTTATTTCCTTTTCTTCTCTGATGGCTGTGGCTAAAACTTCCAAAACTATGTTGAATAAGAGTGGTGCGAGTGGGCAACCTTGTCTTGTTCCTGATCCTAGTGGAAATGCTTTCAGCTTTTCACCATTGAGGACGATGTTGGCTGTGAGTTTGTCATATATGGCCTTTATTATGTTGAGGAAAGTTCCCTCTATACCTACTTTCTGGAGGGTTTTTATCATAAATCGGTGTTGAATTTTGTTGAAAGCTTTCTCTGCATCTATTGAGATGATCATATGGTCTTTCTCCTTCAATTTGTTAATATGGTGTACCACATTGATTGATTTGCGTATATTGAAGAATCCTTGCATTCCTGGAATAAACCCCACTTGATCATGGTGTATGATCCTCCTAATGTGCTGTTGGATTCTGTTTGCTAGTATTTTGTTGAGGATTTTTGCATCTATGTTCATTGGTATTGGTCTGTAGTTTTCTTTCTTTGTGACATCCTTGTCTGGTTTTGGTATCAAGGTGATGGTGGCCTCGTAGAATGAGTTTGGGAGTGTTCCTCCCTCTGCTATATTTTGGAAGAGTTTGAGAAGGACAGATGTTAGCTCTTCTCTAAATGTTTGATAGAATTCGCCTGTGAAGCCATCTGGTCCTGGGCTTTTGTTTGTTGGAAGAGTTTTAATCACAGTTTCAATTTCAGTGCTTGTGATTGGTGTGTTCATATTTTCTATTTCCTCCTGATTCAGTCTTGGCAGGTTGTACATTTCTAAGAATTTGTCCATTTCTTCCAGTTTGTCCATTTTATTGGCATAGAGTTGCTTGTAGTAATCTCTCATGATCTTTTGTATTTCTGTAGTGTCAGTTGTTACTTCTCCTTTTTCATTTCTAATTCGATTGATTTGAGTCTTCTCCCTTTTTTTCTTGATGAGTCTGGCTAATGGTTTAACAATGTTGTTTATCTTCTCAAAGAACCAGCTTTTAGTTTTATTGATCTTTGCTATCGTTTCCTTCATTTCTTTTTCATTTATTTCTGATCTGATTTTTATGATTTCTTTCCTTCTGCTAACTTTGGGGTTGTTTTGTTCTTCTTTCTCTAATTGCTTTAGGTGCAAGGTTAGGTTGTTTATTTGAGATGTTTCCTGTTTCTTAAGGTAGGATTGTATTGCTATAAACTTCCCTCTTAGAACTGCTTTTGCTGCATCCCATAGATTTTGGGTCATCGTGTCTCCATTGTCATTTGTTTCTAGGTATTTTTTGATTTCCTCTTTGATTTCTTCAGTGATCACTTCGTTATTAAGTAGTGTATTGTTTAGCCTCCATGTGTTTGTATTTTTTACAGATCTTTTCCTGTAATTGATATCTAGTCTCATAGCGTGGTCAGAAAAGATACTTGATACAATTTCAATTTTCTTAAATTACCAAGGCTTGATTTCTGACCCAAGATATGATCTATCCTGGAGAATGTTCCATGAGCACTTGAGAAAAATGTGTATTCTGTTGTTTTTGGATGGAATGTCCTATAAATATCAATTAAGTCCATCTTGTTTAATGTATCATTTAAAGCTTGTGTTTCCTTATTTATTTTCATCTTGGATGATCTATCCATTGGTGAAAGTGGGGTGTTAAAGTCCCCTACTATGAATGTGCTACTGTCGATTTCCCCTTTTATGGCTGTTAGTATTTGCCTTATGTATTGAGGTGATCCTATGTTGGGTGCATAAATATTTACAATTGTTATATCTTCTTGGATCGATCCCTTGATCACTATGTAGTGTCCTTCTTTGTCTCTTCTAATATTCTTTATTTTAAAGTCTATTTTGTCTGATATGAGAATTGCTACTCCAGCTTTCTTTTGGTTTCCATTTGCATGAAATATCTTTTTCCATCCCCTTACTTTCAGCCTGTATGTGTCTCTAGGTGAAGTGGGTCTCTTGTAGACAGCAAATATATGGGTCTTGTTTTTGTATCCATTCAGCTAATCTGTCTTTTGGTGGGAGCATTTAGTCCATTTACATTTAAGGTAATTATCGATATGTATGTTCCTAGTCCCATTTTCTTAATTGTTTTGGGTTCATTATTATAGGTCTTTTCCTTCTCTTGTGTTTCTTGTCTAGAGAAGTTCCTTTAGCAGTTGTTGTAAAGATGGTTTGGTGGTGCTGAACTCTCTCAGCTTTTGCTTGTCTGTAAAGGTTTTAATTTCTCCATCAAATCTGAATGAGATCCTTGCTGGGTAGAGTAATCTTGGTTGCAGGTTTTTCTCCTTCATCACTTTAAATATGTCCTGCCAGTCCCTTCTGGCTTGCAGAGTTTCTGCTGAAAGATCAGCTGTTAATCTTATGGGGATTCCCTAGTGTGTTATTTGTTGTTTTTCCCTTGCTGCTTTTAATATGTTTTCTTTGTATTTAATTTTTGACAGTTTGATTAATATGTGTCTTGGCGTATTTCTCCTTGGGTTTATCCTGTATGGGACTCTCTGTGCTTCCTGGACTTGATTAACTATTTCCTTTCCCATATTAGGGAAGTTTTCAACTATAATCTCTTCAAATATTTTCTCAGTCTCTTTCTTTTTCTTTTCTTCTTCTGGAACCCCTATAATTCAAATGTTGGTTCATTTAATGTTGTCCCAGAGGTCTCTGAGACTGTCCTCAGTTCTTTCATTCTTTTTTCTTTATTCTGCTCTGCAGTAGTTATTTCCACTATTTTATCTTCCAGGTCACTTATCCATTCTTCTGCCTCAGTTATTCTGCTATTGATCCCATCTAGAGTATTTTTAATTTCATTTATTGTGTTGTTCATCATTGTTTGTTTCAACTTTAGTTCTTCTAGGTCCTTGTTAAATGTTTCTTGCATTTTGTCCATTCTATTTCTAAGATTTTGGATCA